TATAAAAAAAATATATAAGATTCAAAATAACTCATTTTTAATATATTATTTAAACTTATAAGTAATATATTTTCAAGTATAAAAAGATTCCTTTTTGTTCGTGACGATAAAACAAATTTTAGCCCCAAAAAAGCCCTTTCTACAGAAACTTGTTGCGGGAACCGCCAGTACTATAAGAGCACGTTTATATAATTCTGGATATTCAAATTATTTCCATTTCTAAAATATAAAAACTGAACCTGTTTAAATAACCGTTTTTTATAAAGGTTCTTTTTACTCCTTCAAAAAATAATTATATATGTTCGGTTACGGTTATGGTTCAGATATTTATAACAAAAATAATTTTTTTTAAAAAAAATATTTAAGGGGATTCGGAATTTTTTTTTTAAAAAGCAATTGAATTATATTTTTTTGCCGCCTGGCTGACACCAGAAAATTTTATTTTTTAGAGATATTTATTATGTATTGCTTTTATATTTTTTAAATCATTAAATACTCGAAAAAATGGTTTTATATAAATTAAATGTAAAAAAATAAATGTGGCAATGAAAATATTCACGCCCATTCACGCTTACCACTATGAAATTTTCGACCCGACCCGCCCGCTCACGAAAGGCAATATTTTGATTTACGCCCGAAAATTCATGGTGTTTTTTTTTCAAAACTAATGCTATAATTTTTTACACTTTTTTAATTTATTCTATTTATTTCGTTAATTCCATAATCCATAATAAAAAAATTATATACATATTATAAATCCAAATTTTTACTTGGAAAAAGATGAATGTCTATTTTTTTTTATTTCAATTGTGTACCCCTTTCCTCTAATAGGCGATTGGCTACAGAAAATAACCTTTCACTAGAAGCCGAATTTGCCAGGGCTGACAAAATTTTACTCTCTAATGTTCTCAAAAATGGAAATAAATTTTCCTGCTTCCAAAACTTCAAAATATTGCTATTGTTATTTGTTTTATTTTTTAAAATTTTATTTTGATAATATTGATATTGGTATAATTTTAAAATCTTATAAATTCACACAGCTTTCATCGGTAGATTCATCTAAAAATATGTTTCATTTAGAATATGTGGTTTTTTATGAATGCAGGATGAATTAGGAAAGTTATAAATGACAGTTGGCATTGACTTATGCATATAATCTATTTTATATCATTTCACATTTTTAAGATTGTTTTGTAAATATCGTCTAAAACTTAAGGCTTTTGAAAGGATCTAGAATTAAGCCTACCTTAAGTGCTTGAGAATAAATTTAGTTTAAGTAAAAAATCTCGCGACAAAACACCTAAACATAAAAAGAAAATAGAACTAGGAGCGTGACACCAGATGTTGTTTATAAAATGCCGGAATATTTTTTGTTTTCAAAAAAAAATTTTTTATAAAAAAGAACTAAATTAAATCATAAAATATGTATTTTTAAATATAAAATTGCAAATTGATATTTATAAAAAAATTAAAATTTCCGTGATTCACGGAAAATTCATGTTCACGCCCGGGAAAAATTTTGGGAAGGCTCGTCACGCCCAGTCATGCCTAATAATTTAAAATTTATTCACTCAAACCGTGGCCCACCGTTACACGATGGGTCACGTGTAATTTCACGGCCCGCGCCCACCTCTAATCATCATTATTTAATTGTTTAAATAAAAAAAATTTTAATTGATAAAATGGTTAAATTATTAAGAAATGGATCTTTCATGGTATTAAAAAGTCTTGGCAGTATATGAGGTAGTAAGAATTTATCATCTCTTATATTATGCCATGTGCAATTATTAAATAAGCATTTGTATTATTTTGATGGTTAAATTTTTAGGCATATTTTGAAATTAGAAAAATAATTTTATGACAAGAAATCTACCTAATAAGACCCCCCATTTCCCATTTATTATTTAATTTAATATGTATACGGAATCACGAGGTCGAGTCCTATATCATAAACCAGAAATCACTTGGTTATGAATGGGTATAATAAAACAATAAAAGAATTAAATTTTTTTTTAAGTACCCCCATTCAAATTTTTAGAAGCAGTTACTTCGGAGCTTCACCGTTGTAGGGGCCACTGTTGCCCGGGTAGAGTTCACTCGTTCCCAAAAAAAATTCCAGAAAAAATAACATTTGAAAAAAGTATTGATATATATTTTTGAAATTTAAAACTTCTATAAAACTAATAGAGCTGAACAGAATGAGATATTTTTTATTAAAAATGAAAAAGTACTTTTAATTTTAATAAGGTTAGAAATAAATAGAATAAATTCAAAAAAGTTTAAAAAATTATAGCATTAAAGTTTTGAAAAATTTAAAAACACAATGAATTTTCGGGCGTGAATCAAAATATTGCTTTCGTGAATTTTTTAGTGGTAAGCGTGAATATTTTCATTGCCACATTTATTTTTTTACATTTAATTTATATTAAAACCATTTTTTCGAGTATTAATAAAGCATATAAGTAATACATATTAAATATCTCTAAAAAATAAAATTTTCTGGTGCCATCCAGGGCGGCAAAAAATATTATTTAATTGTTTTTTTTAAAAAAGATTCCTAATCCCCTTAAATATTTTTTTTAAAAAATTTATTTTTGTTATAAATATCTGAACCATAACCGTAGCCGAACCGATATAATTATTTTTTGAAGGAGTAAAAAGAACCTTTATAAAAAACGGTTAAACTGGTTTAAACCGGTTCAGTTTTTATATTTTAGAACTAGAAATAATTTGAATATCCAGAATTATATAAACGTGCTCTTATAGTACTGGCGGTTCCCGCAACACAAGTTTCTGTAGAAAGGGCTTTTTCGGGGCTAAAATTTGTGTTATCGTCACGAACAAAAAGGAATCCATTTATACTTGAAAATATATTACTTATAAGTTCAAATAATATATTAAAAATGAGTTATTTTGAATCTTATATATTTTTTTATATATAATTCATAGATGCTTGTAATAAAAATAAATTAGAAGATGGTGTTGCTTCAATAAAAAAAAATTTCTAACCGTAATGAACCTTTATAATTAGCTGAACGAACCGAACCTTTATAAATTTCTTCTCAAGAACCGTAACCAAAACGTAACCATTATAATTTTTTACATACTGAACCGTAACCAAACTGAACCGTTATAAATAACGGCTCGGGCCTGCTTAAATCTTCAACGAAATGCCATATTGCATTGAATAATTGTTTCAATAATTCGGATTTTTTATAAATATATTTTTTTAAAATTTTTCAAAACAAAAAAGTCATAACCTCATCCCTTTTCATTCATTATATGTTTTAATTTTATAATATTTACTTTTTTTTTAAATTCTCTTTTTAAATCCCTTATTTTGGCCTTTTAATTATATGGTGCCAGCTGCAAAAAAAAGAGAAGAAAAGGTAATATATTTTAATATTTTTTAAACAAAAATGTCTTAACATCATCCCTTTTCATTTATTATATGCCTTAATTTTATACTATTTACTTTTTTATAAATTCTCTTTTTAAATCCCTTATTTTGGCCTTTTAATTATATGGTACCAGCCGCAAAAAAAGAGAAGAAAAAGTAATTATATTATTTTATATTTTTTTTATGGGGATTCGGAATATTTTTTTAAAAAAATATTTAAAAAAAGACCCCGAATAAAACGTGGGGATTCAAGATTAAATCTCCATGTTGGGATTCCGAATCCCACATGATTCAATATCCCAATACGACATATATAAACCCTTTTAAAACATTGGGAATATAATTTAAATGTGTTTAAAATGCAAAGCATCCATAGCATATTTTGGGACTATATCAACCATAGTTAATTTTATAAACATAGTTATTCAGCTAATAAGGCATCATAAGATACTTTAACATCTTCATGATAAAAATCTAACAAATATTTGATAAGTCTTTTGTGGAAGTAATATCTGCAGATTGGTAAGTGCTGCATGATGAATTAAAAACCATTAATTTATTTGGGTTATAAATGTATGAAAGAGAGGAGACATTTGTTTTATAATACTCTACTACTGATCCTATATTAATGTTTTAACGATGAGCTTGCCTTGCTGCAAGTCGAAGGAGACAAATATTAAACACGTATAGCTCTGCTTTTGACTCAACAATAACATATAAAATTCTTCATCAACATAATTTCCTTGAGTTCTAATAAAATGCTCTCCGCCATTCTCATCTTCTTAATCAAGTCAATGTCATGTTTTTGAAAAGTATTACATAATTAAATAATACATTCTAATGAGAAAAAAAATTTGGAATAAGCATTGAATCCAATAATTTTCTTGCTTCTGAGGAAATATTTCTTTCAGGCCATTGTGATATTTCAGTAATAGCAAATAATCGGCTCTTCTAACCCCATTAAAGCTGTTACTGTTTGATGGCGAAGACACTATCTCGTTGGACAAGCTTGCAATTTCTTTCTCCCTGTTGGACAAGGAATTTCAAAAATAATTATTATTTGACTAGAAATTTGAAAATGGTAGATAAATATTACGCCACTAAAAATTTGAAAATAATAAGTAAATGTCACGGAAAACTTGAAATCGAAATTAATTGATAAAATAACTTAGTAGATGAATGTGATAAATAAATGTAATTAAATATTTATATGAGATAGGAATAAATGTTAACAAATATAAATCAATATAAAAAATATATATCCAGCATCTGTATTTTTTAGCTTTGTAGGGGGGATTTGTCCCCCTGCCCCCCCCCCCTCTGCTTACGCGCCTGCTCCTAATTATTTAGAATTTTATATCAGTATGCATAAATTTTTCTTTTATTATTTCTTGATCTTACCCAATAAGTGGGATAAAAATTATAAATCAATTTAAAAAAATATCGATCGACAAATATCGGTTTAAAAAAATTGGTAGATCGATCCGATGAAGCCCTACAATAATTAGAAAACTTAATTATATTAACATTATTATTTTTAAATAAAATAGGAGAGCAAGAAAAGTTAATAGCATCGCACTCTTCACTCGTATATATTTACCGCGAGTGATATTTTTTTGGAGCCGTTGTCAGATGATTCAAGTTTATCCATCAAATTGTGAGTGGGAGACAGTGGACCGGGGGAAGTCTTGCTTTGACGCATAGAAATCTTTTTAATTCGCTTAACCTTAGTTAGCTCTCCGTTCGAAGCGAGAGCCTTGTTTGTGGGGGAAGGTTCCAACTGCGATGGTTGGTTAGAGTAATTGTTTGAAAAAGGGACGTTGCGAGACGTTACGTTGTAGAATTTGGCTGATTATATTATACATAAAATTATATATATAATGTATATACACAGAAAAAATGATAAACTTAAGATAAAAAATCTACAAGGTTGGGAAACAAGGATTTTAATTTCAACTGTGGTATTTTGGATATATTTTATTTATATCATCACGTAAGAATTGGTTATTTTATCTCCACTTTTTCCAATTTTACGAGAGAAATTTATATAATTCATTATCTGTGCTCTAAATATGAGAAGTTCTTTCCTAATCAATTTTTTTAATTCAAGGTTTTTTAACACTTAATTATATAAAATACCATGATATTTTTCTCAATAGATTTTATTATTCTTATAAAATAAGAGATAGACAAACGACCATTTTTTGCCATTAACCTATAAGTTTTTAAAAAATCTAGGCCCGTTTTACAATCAAAGCTAAAGAATTTTTATATATACTTCAAAAAATTAAGATATAAATTTTTACATATAATTGTGGTTACTTTTTGGTATCACATTTTTAAAATTGTATTTTATAGTGTTTTAAATATAATGATAGAAATTTTTAAAATATAAATAAATTACTACTTATACAAATTTCAAAAAAGAATGGGAAATATAAAATGAATATTTTGCAGGCTACGGGTCAGGGTATGGCCCAGTTTGCGAGCACATTCTTTTTGCATCATTCCCTTATATATCTTTCTTTTTTCGATTAATTTTTTAAAACCGTGCAATCCTATACCGGGTCCTATAACGGGTAGCGAAGCTATGTTAGGAAAATGACTCTTAGAAGCGACGTTCCTAAAATTAGCGTTCTTCATATATTGAGAAACGTGGGGTGCTTTGAGTATCCCACGGACATCGGCCTCTATTTCCGTCGTTATTTGATTAGAAGAGAGAAGAGAGCTGATAAGATTATCTTTAAATTTTTTAATATAAGATAGAAGCAATTATTTATTTTGGGTAAGGTGCATTTAAAACATTAATTTTAAAAAAATCAAAAAATCCTATTTTCTTTTTTTAAATTAGATTATTTTATTTATATTAGTTGTTTTTAAGGTAAAATTTTACATGTCCAAATATTATAGTTGGATACTATCTTACATTCAAAGATTATTAATAAAAATTATATACTATTTACAGGGTATCTAAGATACAAAATAAATTCGAAAAGATCTTGTATCCAAGATATAAACTTTAAAATATCTGTATTTTAAACAAAGTACTACTTTTATATTAAAATTAAAAATGATATTATTTAAAATTTAAATGAAAAATTTAATCCTAGTTTAGATATTCTATGATAGGGTAATGTTATATGTTATTAAACAACTCCCATATTTTAGTAAAATCGTCATACATACATCATTACCTTAAATATTATGAACCAAGTTATAGAAGATATAATAATAGAATCGGAAAGTGAAACAATGATGCTACACAAGGAAAATACAATTACAAATATAAAATAACCATATTAAATGGAAAATTTTTTGAAAATGCCCAACACGAACATACCAATACAAATCATAAAATTAGTGCACAATAGATGCGTCATCTAATTTCGTCAACTATCTTAAAGTGTATATTATATAATTTTATTAAAACATTTATAATGATATAATATTATATCCTTCATTTCATAGGCGCTGACTTCATTAGGGCAGCGGGGTTCTCGCTCCCATTCATAAATTTTTATGGGGGTTGTACCCTATAAAAATTCGATGAATTATTATATCTCATCCAAAAATGAAACAAAGAGGAAAAAGACTTATTAAATACTATATTATTTCTATATTGCATTTGAAATGCTCTTTCGCCTTTCCTCTATAGATAGGCCCCCATAAAAAATTAAATAAATCCGCCAGAAATTTCGTATTTAATTCTGAACTAGGATGGTATAGCTGGAAATATTTGTTAGGCTAACCAACATAATAACTCATTTTAATACTATTTTTTTTTAATTTTTTTACCCCTAAGCTGAATTGCTGTTTCTTTATTTTTAGTAAATATTTTTTATTTGAGCCCCGGGTTCGTGCTCAGAGCCCGTAAATTTTACGACCAAGAAAACTAAAAACTATGAAAATGAGTATAAAAAGAAATATGGAAAATATTTAATTATCAAAACACACCATATGTGTTGCAAATATGATACCTAACCAATTAATGTGTTCAAAATCAATTAGAACAAAGTAGGACTTAATAAAACCTTGGAGAATAAAGAGAATAAATTAAATCGTAAAATATGGTCAAATAGAAATATCAAAATAGGTGATAAAGTATGGTATAAAACTTTCAAAGAAAACATGTGGGACAAAGGTGTCATTATAAAAAAAAGAAGGAAATTTATCCAAATAAATACCAGAAATAAGATAAAAAGACATTATGATCAGCTAAAAAAAATCATCGAACGAAAAAAATAAATATTGATAATTTTGAACTTTTTTTTAGAAGGAAAAGAGGTGATGCACAAGTTCAGTATCAAATTGTTCAAGTTAAAGATCAAATTATATAAGTTCAAGATCAAACTATGCAAGTCCTATCAGAAATAAAACTTTACAGAAACTTGAGAATTACATTATGGATATAAAAGACGACTTACAACGATATAGAGAAATCCAAAAATTAATTAAAAGGCTATAAATAAATCGAAGGAAATATAAAACGCAAAACATAAATTGTAAAATTCTTATAAAACATAAATGCGCGAAATATGATTATATTGACTTATCTTAGATTATTTGCGAATTGAAATTAATATATACAAAACATATGTTATGAATGGAAACTGCCGGATGAACAACATTCATGCTAGACCAAGAAGACGAACTATGAAGAACAACTATGTGACGGTGGAATGTTGATAAATGAAAATTTATAATTTTGCATCAAGTTAAAATTTTTTTATATATTCATATTTTCGTATAACTAGTTTCTTTTTATATTAATTTTCCTTAGCTTAAAATTTCAGCTTATTCAAACGAAGCAACACATTTTTATATTTTATTTAACTAGCTTTTATATTTTTTAGATAAGAATTATTCATTTTATTCTTATTTTTTTTTATAATTAAAACTTATTAAAACTATTCAAAAAATAACTTTCATTTTGTGTAATATATTTTATCATTTTATTTATTTTTTTATTATTTTATAAAATGTATATAAAGAATGAATTTTATAAATTATATTCAGTACAAAATTTCATTATTAAAAAAATGATAAAATAAAAATAATTCGTCTTTTAACCAGGGATGTGAACCCGAACCCTAGTATTTTGACTGTAGCCGAATCCGGACCCTTTTTAAAAGTGGAGGGTCCAAAGGTTCTAGGTGTCATGAAAATTTTTTAAAAATAAAAATATTTTTTAATTTTAATTTTTTTTCGTAAAATCATTTATTTTATCTTCGCGGTTTTCTTTCAATTTCTTCTTGGGCTTCCATTTTATTTAGAGATTGATATCATAAATTATTTTCTAGTGCAGGTAATAATATTTTACTATGTAAATTTATTCATAGATTTCCTCGCAAATATATATTACATCAGATTTGCAGTCTATACTCTACAATTGGCTATTAATGTTTGCCTAAAAAAATAATCATTTAACTATCATTGATAAAGCAAGGTATGTTGCAAAATATTTAAGAACTCCCACAATTGTAAGAATATTAAAATCAATGAAAAGTGAGATTGTACACGTTGGTCCTCAATTTGTATGATGCTAGAATGATTATTAAGTTTGAAAGATTTCTGTAATGATTTTATTATAGGATCATGTGAAGTCATTTTGTCGGAAGATGATTGGTGCCAAATAAAGGACCTTACTAGTGTATTAGTTCCTTTAAAAATAATAACATTAAGATTACAATCAGAACAATTATGTTTATTTGATTTTTATGGCATGTGGATTAGATGCTTAGATTTAGAAAGATTTACTAGTCCTTTTTCATACGAAATATTAGAAGACATGAAATTCGAGAGCAATAATATTTGCAAAATAGTGTTATATACGCTTCTATATATTTAGTCGATATCAAGTTTTCTTGAGTATTAAGCAAAAACAAATGGCTAAAGTCCGTTATACGGATTAATGACATACGCAAAATTCCATTATTTACAATATATTGTAGGCTACGACAATAATACCTACTGGTTGTAGTGATAATAATGATAGCAACATTGATGATCTTGAAATTTTATTTTTAGATAGAGAAAAAAAATATTCAATAGATAGAAAGGAGGATCAAAAAGTCTATTGCATCTTTAATAGAAGAGAATAAATAAGGATACATATATTTTAAAATTCTGGGAAGAAAATTAAATATATCCAGAATTATATATCTTGTCTAATCGTCATGGCTGTACCGGCGACACAAGTACAATAATTTATGTATTAAAAAGATAACTATCTATTTTAGGTAACAGTAGAACGTGGATTTTCATCTTTGAAATATGTATTGTCTAATTTATGTGGCTCAAAGGTGATATTTAGAAGATATTATGATTGTGCGATTGAATAAAACATCTAAAATATAATTTATTTCATTTTAAAAAATTTTTATTTGTAAATTATGAATGTTATATTAAAGTTTATTAATAAATGAATGAAAAAAATGTCTTATTTTGAGTCATTTTTTTTGTTCCCTGAACCCGAACCCTTTTAACATTAGTAAAAATGATGGAAGGTAAATTTAATATTATAGTTTTCTTTCCTTATCTTCTCCTGTCAATTTATTAGAACTATTATCTTGAAGATATTTGCAAAGAATATTGCTGATATTTAGACTTAGTTATAGATGTCAAAAAATATTATTTTAATAGTGATTAGGATATTATAATATTAATTAAAATAATTCTATATTATAATTTTCTGATGTCCTCGCTATGTCATGTCATCGGTAAGTATTTATTTATTTTTATTTAAAAAAGAATTAAAAAAATTAATGACATTTAAAAATATCAAAAAGATAATAAAAATAAATATTTTATCATGTTTTGTATGCAGTATTTCTTCAAATCTTTCTATTCTAAATTCAACTCAATAGTATTCAAGATTCATTTCTAATGGGTCACATAAAATATTAATTACAGTGTTGTGCAGATTTGAAGTAAAATATAATATTCAAGTAAAATTCGAACTAATGAGTCGCACGTGAAATTTTAATAATAGTGATTTGAAGTAAATTATATATATATATATTAGATATCAATTAGAAAGACACATCTAATGATGACTCCTTTGGGGGTTCAGTGGCCCTGTCTTAACATCTCTTAATGATTGTACAGATGTTGATTTATCTCTCATCTCCAAACAAAGAAAGTGGCAGGTTAATCAACAATTAACGTTCCAGAGATCGTGAAACCCAACAAATTATATCAACCATACAAAATATTTTTCTTCTCATTTTCATTTTTATTTCCTTTTCCTTTACATTTCCCTTTATCTTTTCTTTCCCTTCTACGTTTTCCTTCTCTCTCCATTTTTCCCTTATCCTTTTGTTTTGCCATTTTATTTCCCCTTCCCTTTTTCTTTTCTATCCATTCACTTATTCTTTCCCTATTCCTTTTTTCTAATTTTATTTTCCCTTATCTTTTCCTTTCCCCCTTTCTTCTCCGACTGTCTTTTTCCCTCTTTTTTTTCCTGTCGCGTTCCCCTTTTTTCTTACTTTTTATTTCCCTTTTCCCTATTTCCTTTTTAATATACTCCTTCCTTTCCCTTTTAATTTTCGATTATTATCTTCTCTTTTCCTTCCCCCTTTTTTCTTTTCATTTCCCCTTTTGCTTTTCTCTTATCCTTTACATATTTCTTCTCCCTCTTTCCTTTTTCTTTTCTATCTCCTTTCGCTTACTTCTTTTCTTTACAATTTCCCCTTTCTTTTTCTTTCTCCCCTTCCTCTCTTCCCTTTTAATTTCTTTTCCATATTCTTTCTTCTTTTTCTATCTCTTTTCCTTCCTTCCTCATTTAATTTCTCTTATTACCTTCCCCTTTCCTCTTTTCCTTCCCTTTTAATTTTTCTTATTCCCTCTATAAATTGTTATCTCGTTCTGATTATTATAAAATAAAGAAGAATATTTAAATTTTTAGTGAATTATATAAAATAATCAGCTTGGATAAAAAGGAATATTGTTAGGAGAGACGAATTGGAAAACTCAAAAAAAAATCTATGATCTTTGCGAATAAATATAGAATCTCATTGAAATAATATATATATTCTGAATCCAACATTTTTTAAGCTGAACATTTCACCGCAACTAACATTATCCCCCTTCATTCCTGCTGATGAGCCCCATACCTATATTATATTCAAAAATTAATATATCATGATTTGTGATTCATCGCCTTTTGTTACTCACCACTATTTGTGAGTCATGGGAGTTTCTGATTCCGCGCGCCATTTATGATTCCCAGACTACACTCTCCCCGGCCGAAGGCCAGGCTAGGCCGTAGATCTAGTTATAATAATAGAATGACCTTTTCGCAATTAATATTTTTACTTTTACTTATTTCATTTTTATTATATTGATAGTATTCAAATTTATATCTTAAAATAATATATTATAAAGTGGAAATTATATATAGAATTATAATATTATTCTTTTTAATATAATAAAATAGTTTTCTTAATTCTAGTTTGCCACCATGTGTTTCCAACATGGTTGTAGCAGAAAAGATTTGATAGTAAATATAAAAAAATCATGTATTTCCAACATTCTACTACTATTTAAAGTTTAAAAAATATAAGATAAAAGTATTTTAGAAATTGTTGCTATGTAACTTGTATCTTAAATACAAAATTTTAAAAAGCATCTATATCTGAATATTTAATAGTAAACTTAAGCATTATTTATAATTCAATGTTTAATTGACTATCTTTATGAATTTATAAAATTTTAGCAAGTTTACCAAAATTTAAAATTAATTTATGATATTGAAAAATACATATATTACTAAATTAATTAATGACTTTTGGAAAAATAAGAGATAGTTTTTATTATATTATATATAAACGTATATAATTTTCTTCGTTTAAAATAAATTCATTTTATGCATTGTGTATTTGTGATTGATCATAATCATAAATAACTTGTTTAATTTTTAGTTTATTTACTATATTATTAATAGACTTCGTATTTTAGTTACACAGCTCTTAAAATATAAAGAAATAAGTAAATTGAAATTTATTTTTAAATAATATTCATAAAGATAATAGCTTAAAATACGAAAAAATATATTTAAATTTTATGAAAAATCTGAGATTTGCGAGGTTGTCAAATTTTTTAAATGACCGGCTCATTATAATTTATTAAAAAATTTGCTCCACCCGGCACACAGATTTCTAGCCCGGGTTTACCATTCAAAGATAAAATTTTTTTAACTGATTAGCCCAATTTATAAATTATCCTTCTTATCCTATAAATGCAAGGAATTAATTTCGAAAAGTTTGCGAAGGAATATAATTATTATTAGGATAGGAAAGAAAATATTTCTAAAATTGAAATTAAATGAAGAACAAGCCCGTAGCAAACAGGGAGGTAACACGCCTACCCCCCCCCCCCAAAAAAAATTAACGACCCAAAAACTTGGCCCCTCGATAAAATTTTTGAACTAAAAATGGTCCATAAAAATTTTTCCAGCCTCCAAATTTAAAAAAATTGCATTAATTATTCAATTTTAATTAGCCATTAACAATTAAATCTAAATGAAATAACAATTTTATTAAACCGAATTAATTGGATAAACAATATTTATAAATTAGTTAATCCATTCACTCATTAATCATTAGATGGAAAAAAAAATAATATCCGCCTTTTTATTCCTCGGCAAAAAGACACTAGTGTTGGTGAATTCGTCAGTTATCTTGATGATTTTTCTCAACCATTCCGTGAACATAGTAAGTCATTTGCGAGATTAAATTAATTTAACAATTAAGATAAATTATAGTCATTGAAAACTACTTTCTGCTATCATGCGATACTTAAACGTTAATTAGACCATTACATGTCAACTATTAATATAATATTTTAAAAAAATTGCAAGAGTGCGATCCTTACATGAGGTGTACGAATATATTAAGTTTAATATTTAAAAAATGAAAAATACTTCTTGCCTATCAAGCTATCATACTTAAACATTAATTATAAATGAATACATATAAAATATTTTAAAAAAATAAAGAGAACGAAGATTTTTACAAAAAGCATTTTACTAAGAAGAAGACGAATATTCTTTTAAAGTGGCAATTTTTAGTGGAGTGTAACTGAATCACCCTCAGGCAAACATCTCACAATATAATTACTTATTCCATCCATAATATTTGAGTATAAAGCAAATTATTTAATATTTTCATTTTTGACATTGTGCTTCCAATTGCTTAGAGAGTCACTAAAAGTTAGAAGAAAACAAAATTTGGTTTTAATACCATATGAAAAAAAAATAACCCAAAATTTAATTTATTTATGTTAACATTTAAATTTCAAAATAGTTGTTTATATTTATTTTTACAAATTTCAATAAAAATAGCAAAATATTTCTAAGTGCCTAACTATTGTTTTATTTCAAAAAATGTTGGCCCTCCCATATAAACAGTTGGCTCTCAACTAGAAATTTCTGGCTACGGGCAGGGTGAAGAAGAAGCTTATTACTACTTCTACTAGAGGTGGGAGCGGGTCTAATTTTATATTTTTGACCCGCCCGCTCACACGCCCGAAAATTCACGGTGTTTAAAAATTTTACAAACCTTTATTGCTACACCTTTAGGCTCTTTTGAATTTATGAATTTATTCTATCATAGTGTTTATTTCTCTAATTCCATATTAATAACACAAAATAATTACAACTTATAAATCAAAATTTTCATTTAGAAAAAGAAGATTGTCTATGTTTTATTTTAATTGTGTCCTCTTTTTCTCTAATAAGCGATTAGCTATAGAAAATAGCCTTTCACTAGAAGCGGAACTTTCCAGCGCGGATAAAATTTTACTAGCTAATTTTCTCAAAAAAGGAAATAATTTTCCTGCTTCCAAATTTCAAAATACTGGCATTGTTGTTTATTTTATGAACGATTGATACTTGATCAGAATCATCTAGAAATTCTCTAAATGACGGTTTTTAGGTGTAGGATGAATTAGAAAAGCTATAAATGTTAATTGGCAATGACTTATACATAAAATATCATTTAGCATTTTTAAAATTGTTATATATTTTTTTTAACTTTTCTTCGTCTATTAAAAACTTAAGACTTTATTCGGAAGTATACATTATGTAGTGACTGCATAATAAATTTTTCCTTTAAAAATGCCGTTTTTTTAGGATTTTGATTATTACTGTATCACCTTTAGAAGGTTGACAAAATTTTACTAATTTTTGTTTGAGCATTCTTTGAATATTGATAAAAATTTAAGTATGTACATAAGACTTTACAATCACCGTGCTAAGTATATTTATTATGATCATTATGTGGTAAATCATTCAAAAAAATTTGTATTAAGGTCAGACCCTTTAATATATACTCAAACAATTGGAAGGCAATGAAAAAGCTTTAAAAATAATATCCCAAGAACAGATACATCAGAAAAGACAAATTAATATTAAAATGTACATATTTTTTAGAAACTTGTCAAACTAAATTTAAAGGAAAAATTATTGTTATTTATACATATATTAAATAATTATAATTGAATATTTTAGATTTGTAGGTAAATACGAGAAATTTGAAACAATAAGTTATTAAGATGTTTAATCTTCCTATAAATTTTGACTGATTATAATTTGAATGCGAATGATTAGTATAAATAGTAAAGATAAATGAAAATAAAACATATTTAAATTAATTAATTTATTATTAAATTCCGTTGGTGAACGAGAGTTGAGAGATTTATTATTTTTCATTAGATTGAAATTTTATAAGATAGGGTTTATAAATGCGGAAGTTTTTTGTATTCAAATAATATTTTTTTGAAATTAAATTCGAAAATATATATTTTATAATTATAAAATTACAAATTTATATTCATAAAAAACAATATAAAAATTACGTGATTCACGTAAAATATATGTTCACGCCCAATCACGTCCGGCAAAAATTTTAAGAAGGGCAGTCACGCCTAATAATTTAAACCACCGCCCGTGCCACCTCTTTCTATTAATAAAAATATATAACAATATTAATAATCAGTAGATAAATTTATATCTAACTATGACCAGATCTGTAGAATTAATGTGATGACTATGCGAAAGTTTTAATGAATGAAAAATAAATAAAAGATGATCTATAACTTTCAATGTCAAGAGGGCAGGATCCCTCCATGTCCAATATGAGCATCCCGTTGAGGATGCAACTTCTAAGTTCAAGGAGAGAGTGTAAGGCTAGCGTGGCAACCCTGGGCTTGGACCACCGGTTGCTGCCTGGCTCCACGTCCTCTTCAAACTTGACCCATCTGTATGTTAAAAAATATCGATGTTTGTCTAAATAATTGGCATTTGAATCACGAAAATTATAATTTTACTGAGGGAGTTAGAAGGTTAACCCCCTAATTCGAGTTATTTTTCATTCAAGGTTATTTAAGTGAAAATTTTTTTTAGATAGTTTAACAGAAAATTTAAGTCCCCTTGACTAGAATTAAAGTTTTATTTTAATCGTCGTATTGTATATATGTTATTGACGTAATCAGTTAATACACGTATTGCCTTAGTCAAGTCGTTTAATATGTTTGATATAAAGGTATTCTATACATACTAGAATTTTATTTCCGGGATGTTCTAAACAAATAATTTATAGTTGGTAAATAGAACAATCATTTGTTCAAAGTGTTTTTTACATGTTAATAATCTGATTTTGCAATAATTAGAATCCATTATGTATAAAATACCTATTCTATAAATTTCAGATAATTTGATCATGAACTTTTGAAATTTTTATTTATATACTGGCTGATTACACGAATTGACTGTAATATATAAGTGGTCAATTCCTGACAAATCAACAAAAAAGCTCATTTACAACCCGATCCCCTCAGATTTTTCTAAAATTTCTATAAGAGTTTCTATATATTTTAATTTTGAAAAAAAAATTTTCACCCGCCAACATCGGCTGAGATATGGGCCTCTAAATGTCGAAAAATGGGCCATTTTGAGCAAGATAAACTCCATTTAATTTTAAATATCTTTGGATATAATTAAGCTAGAAGCCTCATTTAAATTTCTATATAGCCTAATTGTAGATCTTTAAAGTTATATGTTAAACATTGTTAAAAAAAATTTAAATGTCAAAAACCGGTAATAAAAAACCAGAAATGGTCTTAAAATCCAATCGGCCTTTTTTTTTCTCAAATTTTTTTTATGTACGGATATAGGATTAATGAATATATAAGCAAATTTTCAAGTTGGGCCGAGCTCATGCTTTGGTTAATTTATTTGATAAATTGAATTTCTCTCCTTATAAAAATATTTAAAAATAAAAATCAATTTTTATATATTGTAAATTCAATTATTTTCACAATATGAAAATAATTCAACTTAAATTTTTCCCATGGGGTATGAAAATTTGTGTTCCGGGAATGGGTTTAGCCTTTTGAACAAAATATTTTTTACATATTCATCATCTTTTACATATGAGTAATTAATTCCAGTATATATGCTTTATAAAAATTAATTGAATCTAAGGTGTTTGATATTAGATTATGGACGCTGAAGTTAACTCTTTCTGCTAAGCTTTTGGTAATGTTTGCGATGGGCTGTTACGAAAAATGTCATTCAGCTTAGATTCCAAAATAATTTCATGATGGCTTAGATTATGAACTTTATTCATAAACCGAGTACTACACCATCAGAAACAAAACATTTTTGATAAATTTTTAATTTTAATAAAATTCATATCAGAATTATAAAATTTTTCATTAATATCTAATTCGAAAAATACTTCCAGTCTTTATGATATTTGCATTGGATAAAACATTCTATTTCTTGAACAAATTTTTTGCTATTCTTGCCATGGATTCAGTCGTAGAAAATTCTACTTGTATTTAAGGTCCAAGAAGTTAGTAAAACCGTCAATATTTGAATTTTTTCATTTCGAGAATATGTTGTTTCAATATTTTTTAAAATGATTTCACATTCATCGTAAATAAAAAAAATTTCAGATAATGAAATTTTATCATTAATAATTTATTATGGTTAATCATACAAGGAAGTACATTTCTTAGGCCTCCGCAACGTATATGTTTATCCAAATTGTGCAAATTTTAGGAGCAAAGTATATAAATTACATAAATTAACAATCCCCCACCCCCTCCACTTTATTTAAATACATAGAATAATAAAATATTTTAAAATTTTTAGATTAAGTATATTACAATTAATAATTTATCAAATATATTGCGAATTTCTCTAATTGACTAATGATTAAAATGCCACATCTCCTAAACCTGAGCTCGGATCAATTTGAAATTATGCATTTATTAATTAGTCTTAATATAGATAAATTTGATAGGAAAATAAAATGCCGATTGGATTTTATGATCAGGTTATGAACATTTAGTTTTAAACAATATTTAACATTATAAAACTTTCAAGGCCTACCATTATTCTATATAAAGAAAATTAAGCAGACGTTCCTAGCTCAATTATATCCAAAATTAACGGGGGAGCATTTTAATCAAAATGCCCCATTATTTTGACCTTAGAGGACCGTCCATATACTAATATAAATACCTGGTCAGAGAACAACAATGATATCAAGATTTTATTTCAAACTAAATGATAATGTATGTTATAATTTTATGTTTTCATTAATAAATCATACCCGTAAAAGTTTATTTTAAAAAAATTGCAGATTTATAATCACTCGAATAGCCTAAATCTTTTATTTTTATTAATACAATACAAAAACAAAAAGTGTCTCAATTCAAAGAAAACCAGGATGAAAATTCATTTAAAGGACTATCATTATTACTTTCGTTAATAATGTAAAAAATTAAAAATTAAACCTGGCGACCTCCTCCCACAAAGGTATATCATTACCGCCTATGGTCGACTGGGCATTGGAAAGATCGTTAGGACCGCTGAAATTAACAGGAGAAATTGGAAGGGAAGAATTGATGAAACGCAGCTCGTCCATCTGGATAAACAAGCGCTCAAATTCTTGATCCGAGTTAGCCACGCCACTCCCACCCAATATCAAATGGACATGCTCAGCCGGATCGACTATGCAGGGGTTGTGGTATAATAAATTGCGGTTAAAATTGTAATCGTAATCATTTTCATCGCTATTACGACGTGTAAAGTAATCAAAATCGGTGTTACAAAAGAGAGCATCGTGAGAAAATCCCTTTTTGAGAGTTTTATAACGAGAGTTGGTTTTATTAATGGGAGAGGGGGATCGGCCAAAAAAGTTGGTCTCGAAAAAGGGCGAAGCAAGAGAGGGGAAGGCTCGAGGGTCGGGCCGTGTAGGAGGATTTCTCACATAAGATCCGCGCCCGCCTTCAGAGCGATCACAAGAAAGTGTGCGATTAACGCGGATAGTGGTTTTACTAATCTTTCGATGACGAATGGAGTTTATTTTGTCGGAGATAAATGAAGGAAGTAGATGCATTATATATATATGAGTTTCTTTTTTAAAAAGCCTTCTGGGTGAGATTAAAACAGGAAAATAAATATGAAATGATGTAATAAAAAGAACGTCCCTTCAGAGATCGTTTTTTTAATTTGAGGGATCAAGATAGATATATATAGGCGTTTTGATGTCATCATTTTAAAATCAAATGTTAGAGGTAAATCAATATTATTATATTTTAATTTAAAAAGTTAAAGCATTCAGAATAGTCATTAATAAATTGAGATAATGTATGGGATAATAAGATATTTAATTGACCCTCTTGTGAATTAAGAATACGGCAAGCCCCAGACCAACAGAACATGGATCAAATTAGAATTAGAATTCTTGCGCATACTCGATATATAATATTATTATAGAGCAAATTATTTTTTTTATATGTTGTATAAGAAATAAGGTTTCTTAATTTTAATAATTAACATAATTCGTAAAAAAACTGCAAATATTATATAAAACAAAAAATAATTTTTAAACAAAAATACTATTTTCTGACAAACAACCATCAAAAATAATTATACGAGATGTTTATAATATTAATATTTCAAAAAAAATTAATTTTGTTTTGCTTATTGGAAGATTAAAAGAAATCATTCTTAATTTATTGGTTTCTTTTTTTATGTTTAAAATTTTTTTGGCATGGTACTTATAAGGTAGAGTTATATAATCAAAATCGATGTAATTACTGAAAATAGATTTACAAGTTACCTTGGCAATTTTTTTAAATAGAGGAGTAAACTATTTAGGAAAGATAAACTCTAATATCGGCTCGCAACATCAACAATCAATATTTTTATTAAAAAAATGATTAATAAAAGGATAAGAATTTAAAAAATCAGATGGTGAAGTTGAATTTGCTATACCGACTTCTTCGGCAAACAGTGAATAAACTTTTTCAAATGCCAGCCGTATTTTTGAAAAAAAAGAACGTATATCTTCTAAATTCTGATATACGATTCTTAATTATTTATATATAACGATTAGAAATTGGTTTAAATTAGTTTCATTTAATTTCCTAAATGTTCCATTTTATAAGAAAAATAAATAATTACCCAATGATTGAGAAATATTATAAATCAATGCATAACAATGAATATTTTTAGTTTTAGCTTATATTTTCTAATCCGATTTATAATAAAGTCGATTGGCGTATCCTACCGCTTTTTACCACCGAGCTATAGGAGGGGCTAAAAATACTCGATTTTGTAGGGTTTGGCTATTGTAGTATAATAAAAATAAATAAAGGGCGTGGTAATTTTAAATGCGCATTGAAACTAGTGAAGTAATTAGCTAATAGGCAAGTCAAATTTCGCCAGCAATAACCATTTAAAGTGATTATAAATTAATGGCCTTTACAATGGGATAGCGTCTAGATACCTAATAATTGAAATGAGATTATTCATCTAATTCAATTATCAATGTTTGACAATATGATATGCAATTTATGAAAAATATATTTAATTCGTATAAGCTATTTTAAAAAAAAGATGAAATCGAACGATATAAAAACGGAGGCCTAGTTCAGATCAAAAGAACGTTAATAAAATAGTAATAAAGGAATTTCCTCAGGTACAAGTTTTTAACATTTTATAATTTAACGAAATTATTTTCTAAAATATATTCGCATTTATACCTTTATTTTCTATAATATGTATTTGAATATATTATTTTTTTTAAAACGATATCGTAAAAATTTTAAAATAATTAGCCTCAGGGTTAATTAACTGAATTAAGGAATTTTTTTATTTCCATTATTTTAAATATTGATATCGCAAAATGCACCTTAATCCAGAGTTTAAAAATGAAATTTTCAATATTTATTTTTTTGGCCAGAGTTAATAAAAAATGAGTTATTGAAGTGACCTTTCCTAAAATTTTTGAGTTATCATTTGTAATAAATATTGTCTTATACTTATAATTTGTTAATAATCAAGCAAAAATTCCCCGAATAATTTAGATATTTAAGTTAAGGTTTTTGTATTGTTCGCCATATTAATAGATATTCAAAAATGTTTTTCCATTGCCATGTGTCAAAAAATCGGGGCTCTTATGTGAGGAAGGTCCTCTGCACATATTATCAAGCTTCATAAATATTCATCCCAATGATGTATTTAATACTAGATTAGGGATTCATTAGTGCAAACGCATAGGAGTCAGTTTAGGGCCATTTTGTGGCTTGTAGGTAGGCAATATGAGTAACCAAATGGTGGGAAAGTGCCCACCCCATTAAAAAATTTGTAAAAGCAAAGAAGAAGAGGAAGGGAAAAGATATCAATCATGGGATATGAGAAATATCGGAGTTTATGGCCAAGTAAAATAATAGAAGACAGTATGGTAATTCAGCAGTTTGATGGCTACGAAATGGCTGTCTTAGGAAAGCTATACTTGAAGATCTTGTTAAAGCAGCGAAACAGTTTCTCAAATTGTGGATATTTGATAAGTAAGTAGAAATAATTATGTAGTGTGGATGGCAAAGGAAAAAAAACTTAGAGAAATAGCATGAAAGGGTGGATTGTAAGAGCAATGATAATAATATTGTTGAATCCTATGGAAGGGTGGATTGTAAAAATAAAGAAAATAATTTTGATGAAATATATGGAAGGGTGGATTGCAAAAATAATAACGCAAATAATTCTGTTGAATCTTATGGGCGGATGTATTGTAAATAAAAAATAAAAAATTGTAAAATTAATGAAAAGCTATATATTTTGTGAAAAGAAATCTCAATATTGAAATTGATATAGCATACCAAAATGGTATGTAAATAAAGGGGGTTCTCCCTGAAAATTTAAATGGGAGGACTAACAATAAATAACGTTTGAATTTTTAAGAAAAGTAGAGGATGAACCCATTTTGGTGTGTTTAATAACGAACTAGAGGTTATTTTATATTTGGAAGCTACCAATAAAGGTATTGGAGGAGCATTGTTACACTGAATATAAGGCTTAGAACGCCCGATAATATTTATTTCGATGGTTTTCCGAGATGTGGAAACGAGATATTCAGTTATAAAGTAAGAATCTCTCTTGGATTAACAAATGTCAGGCCAATTGGTAGAAAATTATCATTTATACGGATCACAACCCTTGGTATTTCTTTTTTAAAGGATAATAGAGAATTCTTGTTATCTTCCAGATTACAAAGGTGGTTATTAGTGTTAATCGTTGTCAGTTTTGATGTGTAATTAATATCGAAGTGAATCATTTACTAGATATTTAATCGAGACTGGTATCAGTTGATACAACTGAAGAGATATCCAGGGGTAAAACAGAATAATTAAGAAACTTTAATTCATAATGTATCCTCACTACGTGGGAGGGGCTCAAGAATCCTTGAATTGTAGGGAATTGGAGTTGTTAAAATCGTGGTTAATGGGTAAACAACCGTGGAAAGACAGTGGAAATATTTTAGTTGTAGAAGATAACCGTGGTGCGGTGGAAATATTTAATTGATGAAGATAACCGTTGTGGGCGGCTGCATATTACGCGGTAATAGATATTCCTCGGAAATTGAGGGAATTTTTTTTGGAAGAAACAGTATTCAGATAATATGTCTAATGGCCTGGTATAAAGAATGAAATTGAAAATTTAGGTAAAAGCTGTGAGACCTGTAATGTGTAGTCGAATATGCCAACTATAGATATTGGTAGTACATGGCCAAAAGTATATCAACCATGAGAAGTATTCATGTAGATTTTTTCAAATTAGAGAAAATTCTTGGTTCCAAATGTGAAGAAATTGAAGAAATAGTAAAGTGGGATAAATTCGGTATTGCGAAAACATTAGTTTCCGATGAGAGACCTGCATTCATTAGCCAAGGATTTAAAAATTCTGCAAAAGAAACAGTGCAAACCATGTTAGCACCAACTTGTTACCCTAGTTCGAATGGACAAACAGGAATGATGATAGCGGTAGTTAATAATTGGCTAACAAAAGATAATAATGGTGAAATAAGGGTTTCCATCTCGTAGAGCCTAAAAGTAGGAGGGTGGCCCCAGTGGAAGAGTTCCTCGGCCGGAGAGCTAGAATATTATTAGATATGTTAAAAGGCCGATAAAGATAAAACAGGATATAACCAATTGCGGAGTTAGAATATGCATGGGTTAGAATGTATGAGACTCCAAAAAAATAAGATAAAGGATGATTATAGAATATTTGGGGAATAAACTTAATAGCATCAGGTTCGAGGGTAACTCGGAATAGATTCGGCATCATGAACGAATAAGGAAATGGATTATTTAAATATGAAAATGAATATTTTGAATTATATCGTATAATACGAGATTACTTAAATATTGAAATGAATATTTAGAAATGAATTGCAAAGTCCAGTACTCTAGGAATAAATGGAGTAGATATATTGGATCATATTATTGGGAGATGTCGCTCAAATACATCGAATAGGTAAAGGAATATAAATGCAATTTCGGATTGAATAAAATAGGCCAAATTGGAAATTAAAAGAAAATTCTAATGAAATTATAGATATATTCAATATCATAATTGTAATAAATGTAATTTAGGATAAAATAAAAGGCTAAATTGAAAATTAAAGGGAAATCTTTAATGAATATATATATAAGTAGAATTTAACTGAGAAATCACATGTTTATTTTGGATTTTTTTGATACAAGAAATATGCGATTTTATAAGAAAATAAAAAGTTATACTAAAAGAATTACTTCAAAAATATACTTCAAGTTTCATATGGTTAAAATTTGGAAAAATATACAATTAAAATAAGGCTATAATGGGTTCTGTCGTATCTTCCTCCAGGATCTTACATAACCCCCAAGTATCCTACAAAATTTGACAACATTCTGTCATAATATAACATGGGCTTATTCCTTCCGGCGTTAAATAAATAGCAGTCGAATCGCTAAACAAGGAATCAATTGGGACCATATTTCACCGTCTTGTTGCGAAACTCAAGCCTTAATTTTAACACCCAACCAAGTTGGTTTTGGTATCGTTGGTGCTTGTGAAATAGTCACAAACACTACTTGTATACATCTCCAAAGAAATCCAAACAAAATCCTCGTCAAAACTAAATTTCTAATGATTTCAATTCCATTCGCCGCTCTCATTTACTTTGCCAAAAGTTATTGGTTGATTTGAGGTTAGTATATTATTTTGGAAATAATTTATAAATACTTAACGAATTAAACTTCTAATTCTATATGTTTGTATAAAATTCAAGAATCGTAAAACAATCATTCTTAGTGAGTATATTTTAAAGTGAAAACCATATATCCTATGATTGAAAATATTAATTACCCAAATCGGCTAGTGGCTGAGTTTCGAAACGGTCATACACATTAGAAGTAGCCCTGCTTTTACGTCTCCGTCTTCGCGAAATCTTACTAGCCTCGTTAGCTGATACAGGGGCTGGAGGACTGGCAGATGAAGGAGCGGAGTTCTTGTCGTGCTCACGTTTACCGCGTTGTTTT